AAAAAAAAAAAAAAAAAAAAAAAAAAACGGACACATTACGCGCGTGGGTGCAGCCACTGCTGTTGTGGGTGAGAAGTCGGGAATGTAGGATACAGACGGGATGTGTGTCCGTAAGCAACGATAAACCATTGCTAACGAAAAAAAAAAAAACGATTCTGAGCGGAGTTCAGTTGATATAGTGTTGCTTCGTCAACAATGTACAATTATATGCTATGTATTACATTATGGTAAAATGATTACAACGATGTGCGTTTCCGCGGCCACAATGATTGTTTAAAAACGATTGAAATAATAAAAACTCGATAATAACAAAAAATACATAAAAACGGTTGCCAATGACAACCTTCTTTTTATTCTTTCAAATTTTTTTTTTTTTTTTTTAACCCGAATAGAACCAGGTTTTCCTAATTATCTCGAATATTAATGAGAATTTCAAAAATGACACAACGAACAAGCGATAACAAGGACGGATGTACCGCGAAACCAAAATGTAGCCATCAATTTCCGCGAAAGAATAATTTTTTTTTGCAGTGACACGGGGGAAACCGTTCAACTCTACTCTCAGAAGCCGCGGTGGTTACAGAATCGGAAAACGCTAGCGGAGTTGTGCGGAATCGGCGTCGGCACACTGGGTACGCGATTTCGTGTTCCAGCGTCCCGGGCGGGTTCTGATTTGAGGCGGACCGAGTCGAATAAACGATCGCGTACAGCACGCAAAAAGCGCAGGGTGTACTTTCTGGCCTTCGCCGGCAACCGTCTTAGGAAAGCCGCGGACGAAACGCAGAACGAACGGCGTGAAATAAACCGTGGCGAAATGTGGTAAGCCGTACGTATAGATTTTACCGTAATGCCTCCCGGGGACAACCATTCAGGACGTGTCCGATCTTCGAGAATATCGTTCGGTAGCCGTCGTAAATCGGCGTACGCGTCATGCGGATCGGCGCCCGATGTAGCGCACGACCGTAACGCTTGGCGGATCTACCGGAAAACCTCATCCGGAGTACGGACTAGTAATGAGCGCCTATTCCGAAAGGCGATTTTCTCTCGTTCGCGAGCCGGGAGATCGTTTCATTTCGATTCGCCGCGGGGTTTTCGAAATGATCGGGAGGAAAAAAAAAATTCTACGTAAAACGCGGCAAATGTATGATCTATTAAACGTCTCCCGAACTTTTCCCCCACCCCCCACCCCCCCTCCCCCGTCGAACGCGCCACCGCCGATAGCGGACCCGCGACTATTATCGTATCGGAATCCATGTAATTACGCGGTTTTTTAAATTTTCATTTAGTATGTCATTATCGTATGTCCGTATTTATGCACGCGTGTAAAACCTACCTACGTGCGGGTAACGCTTTGGGTACGTGTTATAAAGTGAAAATAAATTATAACGTTCTTGTCATCGGGTTTTTTTTTTTTTTTTTATAATAATAATAATAATATATATACGTATACATACGCGTATCGGATACCTGGCCGGATGATAATGTATTCCACGTCCAGAGATGTTATCTGCGTCGCTGCTGCTGCGGTCGGAAATTCACGCCGTACAATTGAATGTTCGTTTTCGGTAAGAAATTATGATACCGCACAATAGCGTATTATTAATCAAGTTAAATAATGCCCGGTGTGCGCGTGCGCGTGTGTAGGTACGCGATTGGTATTATACACGTGCCCACTGCACAACAATTTCGAATTCGTTAAATTCCATATGGGCGAAAATAACATGTTAAAACTCGCGCGTATTGCCGGGCGGGTAAGTGAAATATTGCGCAACGATAATATTATAATAACGTTTTTATTCACGAGCGTTAAAAAAAAAAAAAAAAAAAAAAAAAAAAAAAGGCGTGTAAACTGTTGGTAATAATTCGCTCGCTATATATGATAATTCGTTCGCGTTCGAAGGAATTGTATTCGACTCGAATTATTTATATTTATTGAATACGATATTATTGTAACGAGCGCCTTACCCGTGTAACCACTATAACATCGGTACGTATTATAGGCGGTGACCGCCGTCAAAGCTGGACACCGCCGTATTAGACGGTTTAGGACTGAGTAGAAAAGTTACATTAGTGTCAGTATGCATAACCGATTCGGAGCTTGAAAACTAACCGGTCGGTTTGAATTCGGAATAACTTTCAGACTAAACGCGTTGTTTTGAATTTCTGTCCAATCGAACGCGGTAAAACGAGAAATGTCGCTCGTTGTTCGGTTATAGTTTAGTATTTTTTTTTTTTTTGAAATCTATAAAACGATAAAATGTGTAACGTCGAGAACTTCGGGTGCACCGACGCGGATAATAATAATTACATATACGATGTTGTCGTAATGTTAAGAATCGACATCGATACACACACACACACACACACACACACGACAATATCACGGCGATTGTTCTTCCGAAAATGAAAACCGTATCGAACAAACACGGCTTTGGACGTTTCTCGCGTTACCGAGTTTCGGTACGATAAAACGACACGCGGTGTAGCTGGTAGGCAAGCGCGCGGTTATACGTAAGCGGCAAGCAAGTATAATCGCGTTGTAATGTAACAGGTACGGGCGAGTCTGATTTATTTATTTATGTTTTTTTACAACGCACGCGAACAGGGTAGAACGCGGACCGAACGGATTATTATTAACACCTCGTATACGCCGCACGTTGTATTGGACACGCGACGACTTTTTCCTCCGATATCGTTTTCGCTCAGCGACGCGTCGCGCGGTCGATCCCGCGGGACGCGTACGCGCGACAACACGTAACGTCCGGTGAACGTTGCGCGAGCGGCTCGGGTCCGGTACGCGAGAACGCACGCGCCGTCGTCGTAGGCACGAGTCCGCATTACGGATAATACATACGCCGGCGGTGGCATTATCGTTATTTTTACCGCCGTAGTTCACGCGCCGTATAAACGTGGATTTTTATACGCGTACGGTATTCTATTGCGACCGCGACGCTAGCTGCCGGGCGCGCGCGTAACGGGACGAGGGGGTTCGCGTTGCGACTGCCGCGGTTTTTCCATAGAATTTTTTTCTTAATTTATTTTTTTATTATTTCCCCCCCCCCCGACGATCTGACAGACAGCGCGGCGGGAACGGTCGTACGGCCCGTATCCGTCACGCGCGCGAACACTCCTGCGCGCCGTGACCGCGCCGTAACGGAAACCGCGTCGTGTCAAAAGTCTCTTGGTCCGGTTTTCTCGAATTTTCGCCACCGCCGTCGCCGTCCGGGGCTTCGAAACGTCATCGTTATTGTAACGCTCAACGATTGGAAAAACGGACGAAAGCGGACACAGCGGATAACATATCGGCGAACGCGATTACAGTGGACAACAGTAACCGAAAACGATCAACGATTGGAACGTAACGCTGTAACAGACAATCGGCGGTTCGTTTTGGTTTTTGATTTGTATCCGGCCACAAAGGGGGACATTGGTAAATGTATTTTTTTTATCATCGGTGCAATACACACGTTTAAGTTTTGAGTTTAGTTTCGGCATCGATATTTGGAACGCGACGACTCGTTACAACTGCAGTTATACATAACGCGTCTACGTTTGTGTGGCTTTTGCTATCACAATATCACGCCATCGTACACGAGTAATCGTTTTTATCTGTAGATTTAAAAATGTTATTTCTGCGTACCGTTGTTTACAAAAGGTTATTTATATTTTATTTGTTTTGTTAATTTAATCGAATTTCGGCCTGCGGTCGCGATGCGTGAGTTGACTCGATTCTTAAGTTCTTAAGTTGTTTCGAAAATTATGTTAATGAATGTTACTCAATATTGTGTCTGATTTAAAATTTAAAACTAAACGGTATCTTATTGCTACGAAAACTGACTAGTTTCGTCTAAAATAATGTAAAACGATTGTTTAAATCTAAATAGTAGTAATAATAGGGATTTAATTTTGTATAGTATTTAAAGCTGAATTAAAAAAAAAAAAATAAACAATCATTGAATTTCTTATAACGGTGAACAATGCTTTTATTTTTGATTTAAACACTGGCCTTGACTCTAATTTTTCGAAATTTAAAACCCTCCTATCTTCTTCGTCTTCTTTTCCTATAGGCATATTATATTTACACTGCGAGTTGTCGCCTCCCGTTTTTATGTATCTCAAACTGCGGCTCTCTCCGGTTTTCAATTTTCTTAAGTATCCGGAGGAGGAGCAAGACAGGGTATCTGCCACCCCCCCCCCCAAGACTCCAATATTACAAATATGATTTTTTTTTAAAGTACTTTTCGGCGTTTGATTTTATTATACCCCTCCCTGATAAATTTTCTGCGGGCGCCCATGACTGCACGTTTCAGAGCTCTGCAGAACACGGTGCCGCCGGGACATTAAAAACGTAAAGGCGTCTCCGCGTAAACGGCTCGCGAGCGGTCGTTTTCGTCGCCGCATCAATTCGCCCGGATATTATTAGGCGTGTTTTGGCGAATAACCAAATGTAACCGGATTACTGTATTTTATAAACGAGTCGTTTCGGTTGTTACTTTGGTTACGATTTTCGATTGTATAGATTACTGAAATATCATAAACAAACGAAATGGACGGTTATGATGTTTGGTTATTGATAAAACACTGATTATGTATTCTGGCTAGTATTTTTTTTTTTTTTTTATTATCAATTAATATTATTTGTAATAACCATAAACACGTCGTTTTCGCGAATCTATAACCATAAACAATTAAAAACCGTAGCTGATAACGAATATAGCCGGGTCAATCGCCGAAACACATCTATTATCACATAATTATAATCGCCGTCGTTTCGAACCGGAAAATAATGACACGACGACCGGCCCCGCGCCCCATGACGTCGCCGTCGTCGACTGTCGTCCCGTCCGTGTGTGTTGGGTGCGTGTGCCGGGTATGACGTTACCGCGTTTAAACGGATTTCGTAAAAATAAATACGCATGACCCAACGGCGGTGATGATAATATTATAAACGCGCGTCCGGGCGACGACGGCCCGCGGTACGAACACGTGAGTCTCGTTGATTTTCGTCCCCATTATTCACCACCGCGGAGACGACGACGGAAAGAAAAAAAAAAAAAAAAAAAAATTAAAAAAAAATCGTTTTACGAAAACGAGTTTTTTCCCGGCAATATTATTATAATGCGCGCCGGTATCAAAATAATAATAATAATAATAATAATACCGTACGACACGGTCGCGTCGCCATATTTATAACAACGGTCGCGTGATTTTTTTCATTTTTTTTTTATCGCCGTCGTCGAGGAAAACCGTACCCCGGTCCGTACGTCTCTCTCGGCCGCGGACCGCGCCGCGTTCGCCCCGGAATCATGGCGCGATGAATTATTCATTTTCCGACACGAAAATTATTACACGGCCGCGGTGAAATATCGTGCGCCGTCGTGCCCGCGCCCGCGGCCGGCACCCGTACGGCCCGCGGGCCGGCGGCGCGCGCGCGCACGGCCGTCTTCGGCCCACGGGTCCGGCGACGCTACCGCGCGGCGCGACAAATCGTCCGACGACAACTCCGGTGACACCTCCGGGGCCGCGGCCGCCCGGCTTTCGACGGGGCCGCCGCGGCCCGGGAGACGTCCAACGGAGCGGCGCGTCGTCACGCGCGCGCACACAAATCAGCTTGACGTGTCGCCGTTCGTCGGTTTTTAATTTTTATTTCTATTCCTCTCGTCTTCTCCCCGTCCTCGTGGTTTCGTTTTCTTTTTTTTCCATTTTTTTTTTTTTCCCCCGCCGTACGTTATGTTAATAGTACACGACGACGACGACGCGGTACACGAGACGATAGCCGCGCGCCCATACCCGTAAATACCCATATCCCGCGCACCGCCACCCGGCGCCCGCGGTCGCGGTTGTCAACGGTCCACGACGGCCGCGGCATTATTATTGTTACTGCGGTCGTGGCGGACGCGCGCCGGCGTCCCGAAAACGAATAAAATACACGACGACGTTGATAACGTAACGTATATTATAATATTTTGATAAAAATCTCTCGCCGGCCGCCGCACAATAATAATAATAATAATATTGAAATATACACGGCTCTCGTGTTTTCACGTCGGCGTCAGCGGAGGACACACGCCGCGAGCGCTGCTGTGTACGGGTCACGCGGGCCAATAAAACGGGCGTGTCTTGTTTCCCGTCCGGCCCGTTAACCCCCTCGTTGACCGTGAACGCGCTCTTTTCGGATTTCGCAAAACAGTTGTTTTCGACAGCACCCCCGGGCACCCCGAAACTGCGTGCGGAATACCGGAAAAACCGTTCGAATCGCGTAGAGTTGGTGTGTAACGGCCGGACGACGGATTTGTATGCGATTAAAATCCGTGAGGAAACGTTTGTCGAAAAGGTCTGGTAAAAGGCGCTCGAAAAATATTTTAAAAGTCCGAACGGTAACGGTGCCCGAAAAGTCTAAGGGCTTTAACTTATTAAACAGGTACAATGTTTTTTTTTAACGTTACAAAAACGATTTACACGATAAGTCAGAAATTAATATTTTTTTTAAATAATTTTTGTAACATCACAAAAGTGTATTTTATACATCAGACCCGTTAGAGAGGAGGGGGGGAAAGCTTTGAAAACGTCACTGAAATTTAAGTTTTTTTCAAAATTAATTTAGTAATTTTTCCTGGACTTGTTTGACGTTATTAATTGCTTTTTGTTTGTTTTTTTTTTTTAATTTTAAGTTGTTTTTTATCTTACCCAGGTAAATGGATAACAGTTATCCGAGATAAAATCATCCGGATGACTCGTTTTACGCCGATTTTCGTGTTATAAACAATAGCTAGGTAATTGATCTTATTAATTATACCCAATAATATGTTAAATGTTTTGCAAATCGATACTTCAATTGCATCGATCACACGGCCTTTCGGAAATCTAAATAGACGGCAATAGAAACAAAAACAAATATCTGTTTTTTCTTTTTCAACTTGGAAAAAAAAAATCGAAAGTCAACTCTCACCTCAGCACAGCCTTTGGGTTCGGAGATGATCCTACGATAGTTTTTTGTATACTTCCTGTAAATAACGTTTTCGGAGAATCAATATATCCATTATTAATGTCTTCAACCGGATAATTGCAGTTCTCGTATGTACACTCGGATATTTTAAAAATTTATCTCTGCACGCATACCGTTGTCTCGGTTTACGATAATGTTATTATTACGGACCGCGCGACACGAAAAAAATAAAAAATAAATATGAATTAGTAAGGTATACCTCACGTCCTATCGTGACCCGAACTTCGAAAA